TTGCTAATTTTGTACAGCCCTTGAACGATGTCATAAATATTCAAATGGCCCTTGGATGAAAATATTCCCCATGCCTGCTCTAAACCTTTCCCAGAATCCCGTTTGCCATCCTGCAGTCACCAGACAGACACCAGAAATGCCACCTTCTCTCCTCTCTCTGTTTTTCATATGGTTGATTTGGACAAAACAGGTAGTGCTACCACGACAGTGGCTTTTGAAAACTGCAAACCATGAGTTCCGGGTCCTGAAGTTCCCCTTGGCATCTGCATTATGGTACAGGCAAAGAATATTGAAAGTACCAGGGACTGCCAAAAAAATAAACAAACCCGTCTTGGGAAAAATACAACCAGAGTGCTCCTTAGAGGCAAGGATGGAGAGATTTCGTCTCATGTACATACTTTGGACATGTGGTCAGGAGAGACCAGCCCCTGGAGAAGGACATCGTGTTTGGCAAAGTAGAGGGGCAGCAAAACTGAGGAAGGCCCTCTATGAGATGGCATGAGACAGGGGCTGCAACAATGGGCTCAAGTCTAGGAACCAAGGATGGCAACCTGCACATAGAGTCGCCATGAGTCCGAACCGACCCAAAGGCATCTAGCCAAACATGAGGGTTCTGAGGGAAAGTTCAGGTGCCGTGGGAACTTACGACAGGAGGTACTGCTCTGCTTCAGGCATCAGGGATCCTTCTCAAGGATGTAAAGCTTGGTCGAGTGAAACCGGCAGAGAACTAGGTGAGGACCCGGATGGAGCAAGATAATTTTGGAAACCAGGATCCAAGTCTTTCCCAACTGCCTTGGTCCACCCAGCAAATGGTGCAGTCAACAACCACTCTTGGCGACCCCATGCCAGGAGGACTGTGCTCCCTGGTAGTTTCCATGGCTGACCCTTCAGAAGTGGACTTTCAGGTCAGGGAACTGGGTGGAGCTGAAGCACCAACCTTTCCATTAACAGCGGAGCACCTTAAAGGTTTGCATGCCCCAGGCCCTCCCTAGCAGATGGGAACTTGTAAGAATCTTGCCCTCATTTACATTCCCCAGGGTGGAGGGTAGCTTATTGGACTGTAAATTGCACTGTGACTGCAAGGTCAGCAGTTCAAAACCACCAGCAACTCTGAGGGAGAAAGATAAAGTTTTCTACTCCCATAAGGAGGTAGAGTCTCAGAAACCCGCAGGGGCAGCTCTACCCTGACTTGCAGGGTCACTAGGGGTGAGCATCGACCCAACGGCAGTGGGTTTGGGTTTGAGCTTGATGTTGAGGGTGTTGGCCGATGGTGGGTGGCTTCTCCTCGGTGCTGCCAGCAGGCAGGCCTGGATCCACTGGCCCAGTGAAGGTGAACAAGCAGCCCACTCTGATCTCTCTTTGGCCACCTGCACAGGTCTCAGTTCCAAGGGACCTAGTCAACATTTGAGGACAAATCCTTCAGCCCTACCATTTGTCAGGGCCACCATTTCTGGAAACTTCCTATTTAGTTCAGGTCAAGGTTCCTCTTTGGGAAAAGTGCCTTAAATTCATATTTCTATCACCTACTGAATCTCATCAATTGCCTTCCCTTTCCTTAACTTTAAAGTAGCTGCACTTAGCTGGCATACAATAGTTACTCAGGTGAAATTTTTTTTGAGAGAGAGCAAGAGTGCCTCATTTTAGCTAAGCAATTGCAGACAATAGCTTGATTATACGTCTAAATTCTTTTGACACAAGCAATTGCCTTGCTTCCCAAGCGCTGGAGGCTGCCTGAACATTATATTTCTCTTCCTCTGTGATTGTGCTGGAATCTCACCCACTGAAAAAACCAACTGTAAATAATTGACATGCCACAAACCTCTCTCTGGTCATCCACACAATGTAACCATTGGGCTCTGAACTCCAGCTCTAAGACCCAGGAGCCAGTGGTGGGATTTAGCCGGTTCCCACCAGTTCAGCAGAGTCTATGAGACTCATAGACTCATATACCTATTTTTTTTTTGGTTGAGTTCAGCAAGCCAGTTGTTAAAATGGCACTCATAATCAGGGTTCTTTCTAAGGTGAGTTGCTGGGACACGATTTGTGGAAATCACAAATGCACATCCCTTACACTTTTTTAACGTTCTCTGCACAACACCATATTCTAAGCGCCCAGAGTGATGTTCGTTCCATCCATAGGTATAAAAAAATAGACAAAACCATGCTTGTTATGTGTATCTATTCGTTTCATGAAACTCATCATACTTTTGATGAAACACTACCATTTTATTTTTTGCATTTGTGACACCAGAAAACAAACGTACAATGTGAAGAGAGAAAGTGCCAAACATCCAGAGGGTGACACACTGTTTCACATTCCTTTCAGCTTGGTGTTAGGCCCCAGACTCCCAGCAGATATTATGGGTGGATGATGCGATTCCGGAACGTGTTCACAGAGCTGAAAATATGGCCAGCACCATTGTTGTACGTTCAGCAGAAGTGGAAAGAAGTTTTCCAAAGATGAACATACCAGCCATTTGTTCAGAGAAAAGAAGTGGCCGGTTTCTAAGATGTCAAACACAATGACTATCGTCTAATTGGGATCCTACTCCTACGGTGAAAAAAAATGGCTAGGGATAAACCACACAGCTTGGATAAAGGCCAAGAATATTGCAAGCGAGGATGCCAATCAAGATGCAATATGGAAATATCTTAAACAACACTTTTCTTGTCAGGTATTATTTAATTTTTTTAAATAATATTTTAAAACCCTCTCTTATAGTATAATATAGTTTTGCATACCTCCTTTATTGTTCTTATTTAAGTATTAACTGTCAAACAGTCGACTATTGGGGCAGCGAACCAGTTAATTATCTGAATCCCACCACTGCAAAGGAGTGTTCTGCCCCCAAAGCTCTGCTTCTTCAAGAACCATCAGCTTCTATGGAGTACAGTTAGGGATATTGTCCCGGCGTAGGCATCTGATAGGTTTCAGGTAATAGTTGGAAATTCTGTGACCTCAGACCAGTTTAGCTCTCTTTGACTTTATTTCATTCTCTGTAAACACAACCTCACACAGAACCTAAGCAGCGATTCCGTTTCCTCAGGGATCTGCAGAGGAGCCACGCTAAAGCCCGAGACCAAGGAGGGCAGTGTGATGCTTTCGGGCCGACTGGCCTGGGAGTGGTGCCTTGTTGTTTGCTCCAATGCCAGTCTCTGTTCTTGTCTTTCGGTGCCCTCAAGCCGACCGGATCTGCAGCAGAATGAAACACTGGCCTGCCCTGCACCGTTCCCACCGGCCTTGCTCTGGTTGGATCCATTGCTGCAGCCCCCCATTTCTTGCAAGGTCTTCTTTTTCAGGGACGCTGCACTTTAGCAAAGGAGTCTGGGGGTGCAGTGGGTTACATTCTGGGCTGCTGCTAATGGCAAGGTCAGCAGTTGGACACCACTCGTCGCTCGGCTGAAGAAAGACGAGGCTTGCTACTCCTATAAAGAGTCACAGTCTCAGAAGCCCACAGGCGCAGGTCTGCTCCGCCAGTTGGACTCGACTCGATGGCAGTGAGTTGTCTAACCCAACATGACCTCCTTCTCCAGGGATGGGTCCCGCCTGACACCGTGTCCAAAGCAAGCAGACCTTCTACATCAGAATCTGCACTGGAATAAGCACCAGAAGACCACAAACAAACAAACAAACAAACAAACAAACAAACCTAATTCTGAGAACGAGTGGGGTCGGAGCAGAGACCCAAAACCAATCTGTGGACAATAGGACATCCCCTCACAGAAGGATCACAAGGAAGGGATGGGTCAACCGGTTTGCTGTATAGCACCAATGAAACATACAATAGTCCTCTGGTTCTTTGAGGCTTCCTCACCCCCCACTATCATGACTCCAGTCCTGCCTTTCGGTTCTGGCTAGACCAGGGCATGTACACTGGTACAGAAAAGAGCTCACAACACACACGGAAACCACGTCAGATAAACCCATCAGGAACAGAAATAGGG